AAGATGCTATTGCTTTGTCTATTCATTAAATTTAATGTTATTTATTTATTTAAAACATTTATATAGCTGCCCATCTTAAAAAAACTCTGAGTGGCTTACAACCAATAAAACAAAACCAAACAATATCAAACAGTATAAAACCAACAACAATAAAACTAGAAATAGAAAAACCTGCCACCCACATTCTCATCCCACCCGGGCTTTGCCTTAGCCCAATGCCTGGGGGAAGAGCCAGGTTTTAAATGCTCTCTGGAAGGATAGAAGGTTGGGGCCTGTGGGATCTCAGGGGGGAGGGTGTTCCATAGGACAGGGGCTGCAATAGAAAGGCATGCTTCCAGGGACCCACAAAATGGCAATGTTTAAGGGAAGGGACCTGCAGCATACTCACACTGTCTGATCTGGTGGGATGGACAGATGTCCTAAGAGAGAGGTGGTCCTGCAGATAACCTGGTCCCATGCCATGTAAGGTTTTAAAGGTAATAACCAGCACCTTGAGCTGCACCCAGAAGAAAACTGGGAGCCAGTGAAGCTTATGCAACAAGGGTGTAATATGTGCGAACCTAGGGAAGCCCAACACTGCACATGCTGCTGCATTCTGGACCAGTTGTAACTTCGGGTAGTCTTCAAGGGCAGCACCATGTACAGTGCATTGCAGTAATCCAAATCGGAAGTGCCCAAGGTGGGAGTGACCATGAGCAAGGCCTCCCGGTCCAGGAAAGGGCGCAATTGATGCACAAGACAAATCTGTGCAAAGGTTCCCCTAGTCACGGCTGCCACCTGTTAATTGAGCAGTACCTGCGAATCCAGGAGGACCCCCAAATTGTGCCCCAGTTGCTAATTGTTAATGCAGCAGTAACTCATCCCTTGATTACCACTTGGTTGGTCTGCTGTAATGTGCTTTATGTGAGGCTGCCTTGGGAAGCAACCCAGAAGCTATAGCTGGTGCAGCTAGACCTCTGATAGGACAATCCCAACAGGTTGGAAGAAAACCTATCTTGAAGTTGCTGCATGGGTTGTTAGTAGGTTTCCAGGCCTGACTCAGTCTGAATCTGCCCATTCAGTCTGGCCATCAAGAGAGGACCTTGTAGGTCTGTCTTCCTTGCAAGATACATAGATTTATAGCTACATCCTATGTATCTAACGAGGAAGAGGGCTTTCAGCAGGCTTTCTTTAGATGTTCAGACAAGATGGACAGATTCAATTTTGGCAAGGCAGTCCCTGATATACCCCAATGCTATGCTTTATAGTGCTTTAAAGGTGACCACCAGCACTTTGGCAGCCAATGCAGTAAGCTGAAAATTGGTGTTGCCTTGTGTATTAAGTTTGGCCTGTATGCAACCTGGTTGCCACATTCCGCACTGGTTGCAGCTTCTGAATCATCTCTAAAGGTTGCCCTACATAGAACGTGCTACGATGATCAAGGCAAAAGTTACCATCCCCAGAGCCTCTTGGTTCTGAAGAAATTCTCCCGATTCTGGGTAAAAAAATCAAAGTCTGCTGTAGAACAATTAATGGAAAATAAAGATCTCAATTTCCATTCTGTCTTAAATGTTATTTGAGAGAATGCCCTTGGCATTCCCGTCATCCCAGAGTCACTGGGAGTTGGGCGGCATATAAATTTAAATCATCATCGTCATTATCATCATCATCATCATCTCTGTGTTTCTATTCTCACGCAACTGGGTGGAGAAATATAGCATTTCTTCCTCCCTTCCCAGAACATTTTGGTAAATTCTCATAGGTGGAATGTGTAGTTCTTCCATTTCCTTTACTTGTAAATGTCCTATCTCTTGCATCTGATGGTCTGCAGCTTCTCTGGTTTCCCGTGTTTCGGTTAAATGCCAAGAAACTCTTGCCCAATGGCCTTTTTCAGTAAAGAAAATATGAACCACCACAGAGAAAACAGGAGAGGAAAAAAAGCTCAACTGTGCCACCTTGCAGAAATGAAGTTCAAAAACAGCAAATGGATTGCTAATTCTCATTAGTAATCCATTTGGTGTTTTTGAACTTTATTTACTAAAGCACCCCGACAATGAGATGGAAAAACAAGGAAGGAAATTAGAAGACAGATTTCAACACATGATGCAAAAACATTGCCTTAAATAGTGAATCTGCCTTGTTCTCTGGAGTACTAGATTTATCCAAAAAAAAACAAACAAACCAAGGAATCAAAATACAGTAATAAGTAGGCTCATTAAAATTTATTACTTCAAAGGAGTGGTCTTCAGGACCAACATTCTTTTTAATCAGAAACAGATTCTTCACTTCCCTGACCCTAATATTAGTATAGTAATGATCAAATAAAATAGTACTGTAATGGTTCTTTGTTTAAATGCCATTTAAAATGTTTCCCTATAGTACATTAGATTACCATTTTGTCTCATGAAAATTATGTTCAAGAGTTTAAGTGTTGGCCTCCATAATTTGAAGCTTCACTGTAATAGTTTCAAAATAAAAGAATCAACTGATCAGCTGCTTAGTGAGGACAGCAAATAGGTATCAAAGAAAAACAGTTCTTTTGGGGAACAATCTTTTTCAGCAGGTGTTTCACCAAGAAATTGGGAAGAGAATGATGATGGGGAAAGACTAAACCTTAAAAATGATAGAAACCTAGTTAGGGAAAATAAATTTACTCTGAAGGAGTTTAAATGCCTAAGGCCAGATAAATTGCACTTTGTATGTGTACCTTTGAGTCACTTTTGACTCCTGGTGACTTCCTGGACAAGTCTCTGCAGTTTTCTTGATAAGATTTTGGAAGTAGTTTGCCCTTGCCTTTTTCTCCTTAGGTTTGAGAGAGCAACTGGTCCAAACTCACCCAGCTGGCTTTGTAGCTAAGGTGGGACTAAATTCACCATCTCCCAATTTCCAGTCCAGTGCCTTTAACTACTGCATCAAAATGTCTCTCACTGCATCTTACAGTACTGAAACCAACTGATGATCTGGCTGAACATTTTTATGTGTTAGTTTTGAGAAATCCTGGAGAACTAATGAAGTGCCATATGACTCAAGGAAAGCAAATATTTTCCCTGTCTTCAGGGTGTGGGTGGGGGAGAGAATCTGGAAGGCTGGAAAACAGCCTGTTGAACATTGCCAGACAGGCCCAATTTCATGTTTTGATTAGTTAAATTCCTTACATGATGGAATTGCTGTATACATTACTCACATATCTAGATTTTACAAAAGCCCTTGATAAAATACTCCATGACGTTCTGATTTGCTAATTAGTTAAGGTTAGGCTGGATGGCATATCAAGTAAATGGATTCATAATGGGCCTGAAGATTGTATCAACGGATCAATGATTCTTCATCAAACGGAAATGAGGTACCAAGTGGTATCCACAAGATTCAGTCCTGGGCCTTCTTCTTCAGTGCGCTGATTAATTCCTTAAATGAATTAGGTAAAGGGAATGCAAATGATACAAAACTGTGTGGGACTGAAAACAGAAATAAAATTAAAAACAATTGGTTCAAATAGGAGAAATCATACAGGCAATTATAAGATGCAATATACCTGGCTTCATCATAGTTTTTGTGATAAAGATCTTGGAATAGTAATTAATTACAACTGAATACAGGTCGGAAGTGAGATATGGCTGCAACAAAAGGGACATGAATTCTCTTGGAAAATGTTTAAAAATTCCTAAACATAAGAGCAGTTCAACAATGATACCAAATGCCCAGAAGCGTGGCAAAGACTAGACAGCCGTCGGTCTCAAATGTTTTACTTTGGACTTCTGTATTGAGCAGAGGATTGAACTCAGTGGCCTTTATGACCTATTCCAATTCTAGGATTCTGTGACTTGTTATGAGATCTCGAGCATATTTTCCCCTTTCTAACCTCAGCCTAAATATCAATAAAATAAGGGTGGGTTTTTGGGGAGGGTGGAGAGAAAATATCTGCAAAACACCAGCAAATACATGAGACACATGTCACAGGAACATGCCTCTTTCTTGCAAATTCTGTCTTTATTTTGAATTTTAGCCTCCAGTGGTGAGACCTAAATAAGGGGGAAATAAGGTTAAGCATTACTATTTGAGTATGTTCTCATAACTGGGTAAAACTTCTTCCTTTTTTTTTTTTTAATTAAACCAAGGAGTTGTGAAAATGTCATTGCTCATTGAATGATTCCTTCCCTGATTGCCAATCAGAGGATATTGAGTCAGAACAGAGATAAGTGTTCAACTCCTATATAAGCTGAGGATGGTCAAAACCCAGAAACATTTGAAGGGAATAAACATTTCATAGGACGGGAAGTGTCTGCAGTGATTTTAACTATGACACATCTCCCACTTTGGGTGTTCCTGCTTCTCACCTGCAACTTTTCTGCTTTTGCAGCCCCAGTGAATCCACAGATCAACGATGTTGACATGGATTTTGTGAAGGTAAATATACACTCCAAATTGCTGAAACTTTAACTGAACTCTAAGTTTACTGAACTCTAATTTTAACTTTTCTCTCCTGGACTCTTTTTTCCCTTGACATCATATTTGTCTTTGTGTCTCATGAGATCCAGCTCACCATTATACCCATACTTTGTGCATTAGTTTAGAGTTATTTAAGATATTGGTTAGGCTCCATTTCTGCAAGGCAGCCTGTCCTCCTTAAGTTTGCACCATCATTAAAAAAGCTAAATCTCTTTTGGAGTTCACTTGAAAAAAAAAAATCCTCTCTGTTGCTGGACTGTAGCCTTCAAATTTATGGGAAGATCCTTCATCCTCTTCCCCAGAGCCATAGAATGATTTTTGATATGCTGGAGGCTGTGCTTTGCAGTGTTATTTGTGCTCATATGAATGAGTAGGAAGGATCTGAGATCAACAGGTCTCAGTTGATCAAAGTCCCATCATTCTTTCTCTGACTTGGTTTGTTTTAGATTTAGCTTATTTTTTAAAATTCAGAGTAACTTTACTTTTTTCTTTTCTTCTATCAGAATTATTTAAAGAACTTCTACCAATCCAAGGATGAAAAAAGGGCTAAGATCCGTATGGATGATGAGGACATCTTGGCTGAAGATCTCAGAAAAATGCAAGAATTTTTCCACCTGAACATGTCTGGAAAGCCTGACCTGGAAACTTTGGCAGTGATGCAGAAGCCCAGATGTGGTGTACCTGACTTGGGGTCATATACTCTTACATTAGGGAATCCTAAATGGGACAGAAAAGATATTACCTACAGGTAAAAGGATTAAGGTAGACTTTTTGAGCAGGTGTCGGCTTAAAGCTTAAAAGTAGGAGTATCTGTGGGGAAGGGATGAAAAAGTCAAGATGGCAGCCATTTGTTTTAAGCCCCACACTTTTTATGTGTGTGTCACATGGTGGTGGCTGCCATCTTCCCCTTTTCGAACCCCCTCCCCACAGACACCCCTGCATAAAAAGAAAATTTTAGTTTTAAAGTTCATTTAGCGATGAGAAGTTTCTATTAATGTCCTCCACCCTTTCTTACTTCATAGCACATTTTGCATTTTCAGTGGCGTATTTAAGACTAGGAGAGGCTTGGAAGCAGAATTCTCACTTAAACAGCTCATATATGCAAACTTTTCTCCTCAAGGCATCCTTCGCCATTTATTTTCACTGCTGTTTTTTATCCATTGAAAGTAGCATCCAAGTAATTCTGAAGTAATTCTTGCCATAGTATATTACCTGATAGAACTTACTGTCCTGAATAAAATACAATCACACCCCTGAACACCCTGAAGCATCATTTGAAATGGAATCTGAAACATTGCCCAACCCTAATGTAGCCCACCATTTTGAGATCCTGCCATATGATTTGGGTTATCTACTCCAGGACTGACCCCTTTAAGAATGCCTTTTATTTTGTGGTCCTGGCTTTTCTTGTTTGTGAACTTCCTTTTAATTTTTATATTTATTGCTTTTGAACATGGTTGTTTTTATTGGGATGATTTTATTTACATGTTTATTATCTCTTGTAGGCTGCGCTGGGCTCTTTTGGGAAGAAGAGCAGTCTAAACATGATTTATTGGTTTATTTATCAATCCTATTTATATAGCCGCCCATCTCACACATTAATTTCATTAGCAGAATCAAGTAATGAAGCTCCTTCTCTGTACATGGCCATTTTAGTATGTCAGGGATCAGCTTGGCCTCTCTCTGACATACAGTATTTACTTTCTGTAAACAGAGAATGTTTATCAATCAAGTGAAAGCTTTAGCGTTTGATTTAGCTGGAACCATATGTGGCCATCACATCCAGCAAAGTCTCAAAAACAATTGGCGGCTAGAAAGGAGACAATTTTTGTACCAAATCACATCTAAATGCCTTTTCATTTAGTATTCATTGTTTGAAAAAAGGAAACCCAAAGAGGAACTTCAAAGCAGCAAATTAAGTCAGGACCACAACAGTGAAAAGGAGACCTCTTCCTGCTCACTGCAGTCAAAGTCATGACTGGCCCTGCCCTTATTTTATTTCATTAAATGGAAAGGTGTGCATCACCTCAAGACCTTAGGAAAAAAGATTTCAGTGTGTCCCAAAGGCCTTCTCAGATTCTATTTAATATGATCAATTTCTATTTTAGATTCAGAGAGAAAGCAATGCTTTATATGTAAAAGGTTCCATTCTGGTAAGCTCAGATAGAAGTGGAATAACTCTGGCCTGGAATCCTGGAAAGCTGGTGTTACTCAGTGTCTACAATACTGGTTTAGATGGACCACTGTTCTGGCTCCCTAATGAATTTACTCCCGTTTCATTTTAAAGGATTGTAAGCTACACTTCAGATATGCATCCATCTGATACAGACAAAGCCTTCAGAAAAGCATTTGAAGTCTGGAGCAGTGTGTCACCTCTGACTTTCAAAAGAATCTATGATGGTGAAGCAGATATCATGATCTCTTTCCAAACCAGAGGTAACTACATAGGTTTAGCACTGAGCTGAGCCTGCCTTCAGGAACCACCTTTGAGCAAATTTTAGCTATCTGACTGAATTCATTTCTTCTTCTACATTCAGACCATGGTGATAATTCTCCTTTTGATGGTCCTGATGGAATCCTGGCACATGCTTTTGAACCTGGGAAACACATTGGTGGAGACGCCCATTTTGATGACGATGAATTATGGACAAATGAAGGCTCAAGAGGTATACCTAAATCATTCTTGAACTCAGTTCTGTAAACATACAAATTATGCAAGGATATAAAGAGCTGAGGTTTATTTATAGATGCAGCTAGATGAGATGATAGAACTGGAAATATCTGCCAGCCTCCCCAATATAGGCTGCAACCCCCAAGAAACCTGGATGAATGTGACTAGGAATTACATTTTTACTTAAATAGTAGAACAGTAGTTATAGCAGGTAGTTGGCAGTCCCTGAGCAGGCTGAATGGTACAGAGATTAGACCCAGTCCTATTTCAGATACTGCATGCCTTCCCCTCTGTACAGAGAGGTCTTTGCTTTTCTCTTTTCATGCCCCCAAGTCTTTCATGTTTACATTCTCTGCATTCTTATTCTCTTATCCAGACAATTCCCTCTTTGAGATTCTCTAGCCACTAATGGAGCCCTGGCATTATTATCATTATTATGGTTGGTCACACAGTCAACCAGATGTTTAGACTGGATTTGGCATTTTTATCCACCTATGAAGTCCTTTCCAAGGGGATAGGCAGATGTTGTTTAATAATACTAAAGGTATCGTCACAGGATATAAGCTGTTCCAAGTAAAGCTGCCTTTTGCAATTGACTGATGGTG